TTTTTTTTTTTTTTTTTTTTTTTTAGAAAGTCAAGGTCTGAACATGCAGTTGTGTTTTGGGATAAATTTTGGGTTAGTGGCACCAGAGGAAAAGCAACCTTTTGAATGACAAATCAATGTCATCCCAAGGTGACAGCAGCCATCACAACCTGTGTCTGGAATAAATCATCATAAAAGATCATAAAACTAGAAAAATAAAATATTACAAATGCTTTCGTGCATAGAATGTATTTGTTTACCTAAAACTCCGTAACTTATTATTCTTAAGTTGAGGAAGCTGAAGCTCAGATGGGCTGAATTCTCTACCCCAAACCACCACGTCCACTGACGGTAGCACTGTACTTGAGTCTAGGTTTTCTAGAGGTTACCCAGTTCTACAGACACCCAACTTCTGTGCGTGATGCTCTGGATTCCGTAGACCATCAGGCGGGGGAGCATCCATTCCCACCACCTCTTTTTAATAGAGCAAGTTGGGGTGCACAGAGACGAATGAGAAACAGCCTAATGTGCACACAGTGGATCTGAGCTCTTCTCTGCAGAGCGCAGAGTGGCTGCTCCTGTCATTGTCTGGCTGTCCCCTCCTTTCCTTCTGCAGGTCTGGACATGAGCTCCACCTCCCCAGTGGATCCCAGACTCCTCAGCGTCAGCTCTGTCCCATTCTCCCCGCTGGCCGCTGCCCTCTGTCCTTTCTCTTCATGCCTCTTTCCCAGCTTGTCAGACACCCCACACAACCCAAGATCCGCAAGGGCTTGTATCTTCTCTCCTCACCTCCCTTCCTCAGTGTCCGGGGCTCTTGGTGATTCCAGCAGTTGCTTAATAAATATTTTCTTAATGAATCATGCGCAAGGCACATTCCAAGATTCCTCTAGCTTCTGGGAGTGGCATGTTACACTGAGAAGCACCTGAGCTGTGCCCTAGGAAGTTCTAAATTAGAATCTTTCTTCTTCCTAAGGTCTAGGAAGTTGAAAAAATCAATCACTCAGCTCTGTCAGCCTCAGTTTTTTATCTTTATTTTATTTATATTAATGTTTTTTCATAGACAGTGGCATCTCACTTTGTTGTCCAGGCTGTCCTGGAGCTCCTGGGCTCAAGTGACCCTCCTGCCCCAGCCTCCCAAGTAGTTGAAACTCGAGGTGCACACCACTGTGCCTGCTGCCAGTTTTCTGATTCTTAAAATGGAAAATTCAGAACAATTCACACAATTATTCTAAGGATTAACAATAATGGTTAAATGCTTGAAACAAACTGGTTCTTCTAAAATGCCAGTGATCTTTCTGACCTCCAGAGGCATGGTATGAAACATTGCTGCCATAGCTTTGGGGTGACAGTGGAATGAAATCATATTTCTGATCCCCAGAGGGCATCTTTTTCTGGGGGATTTTTGGTTAGATAGTAGTCTTCCTTGTGCCAATGTAGAACAAGAAATTTCCTAACCCTCTTCTTACCCTGATTGCATGAGTCAGGATGGGTTTGGAGTTCTCTGTGAATGTAGGTTTGCAGGCTTGTCGCTGAGTAAAACTCTGTACTCAAATGCAGCTATGTCAGACACCACTTGTCACTAACGTCTGAAATGCAGATACGAAGCCCAAATAACATATTAGAAAGCTCATAATTTGTATAGTTGGGAACTCCTGACCGGCCTGAGTCAGTTTCTCTGCACACATAACGAGCACACCTTCACAAAGGTGTTTTGCTGTCGTGGGTCACGTGAACAGGAAAGGTAAAATAATACTTTTTGGCCTGTAAGGAGAAGTTATCAAAAAAGCATGGACTTGTTATATTAGAGTTGGTTGCTTTAATTCTTCACCAGGTTAACCAGGCTGTTTACTGGTTGTTTGGATCATATACAAATAAACTGAACGTGTCTATAAACTCCCTGGACTCTCGGGTAGGGGAGGAGACCCTGTGGAAATATTGTTCAAGTTGTTTGGACCAAGCACGCTTATCAACAAAAGAATGTGTTTATTCTCAACAAGTGTATATTTACTTAATTACAAATAAACGTATGTGGCAGGACAGGTTGATGTTCCTTTTGCGGGAATGGCATATTATATATTGGTGGCAAAATAAGAAACATCAGGGATTCTTTTAAAACTTTTTTTAAAAAGTGTAATTATGTGGTGTGTTTGGTTTGAATATTTTGTAAATTTAAATATTACAGAAAAAAACAGGCAAGATTTGTTTGGGCATATTCTTAGCTCTTAAAAGGTTTAGTTAATTGTTGTGGCTTGCAGGACCAAGCAAGGGGTGGAGGGAGGGTAATTGGTGCATTTTACAAGGGTATGTGTCAAATTTACTAAGTGTAGAGTATAAATGTCTTAACAGAATAATTAAGAAAGTGCGGTGAAGTCTATGTTAGTTTGTTTAAGTATTTTAAATTGTATATAAAACCAGCACATCGTACCCCATAAATGCATTAATGTACACAGCTATGATTTAATTAAAAAATAGTCTTTCAAGGCTTATCATAACCTTGGTATATAAAAAACAAGATAGTTGAGTATTGTTAGCAATTTCCTTCCTGCCTGCCTCTCTTTCCCCGTCTCTTTATGTCTCACAGTCCTCTCTTTCTCTTTCTTTCCTTTTTTCCCCTTTCTTACCTTTCTTTCCCCCCTCCCTCTCTCTCTTTCTTCCTTCCTCCGATTCCTCCCAGGTGTGGCTGAGTTTTTGGTTACATCTGAGATTAAAACAAAAAGCTGAGAGGAGTGAGAAGGTGTCAGCCCTGCGTCTGCTCATGCTTGTGCTACTGGTATTTCCTGCAGAATCTTGTTAATCCCCTTCTCTTTTATGAGCCTTACTTTAATAAAACCTAGATGAATCAATTTAAAAATCTACTTAAACAGGTCACAGCAAAGCTGCAAGCTGTTAACCGTGGCCACAGAGGCCGACCTAGGATCTGAGTGCCCATCAACGTCTTAGAAAATGAGGAATTCTTAACTTCTTATAGGGTCTACCCAGAAATAGAAACTGAAGTTTCTCTGTTCTCCTCCCCCACCTCAGAGAGCCAGGCCTGGAGGGGGCGTGGGGGGTGTCCCCAGTGTGTTCTGAGTGCCAAGCAGGGCAGGGGCAACCCACGCTGTCTCCCTCCTCAGCCTGGCATCCTCCCCAGCAAGGCTGAGAATCCTGGGAAGAGCCACCAAATAGGGCTGGGGCTGTCCTTGCTGTGCCCCTTCCCTGCTGGGCTCTCCCCTTCAAGTGACAAGGCCTGGGAGCAGCAGCTGTTGTGAGGGAGGCCGTCCCTTCTTCCCACCCCAGGCCTCTGCTCTGCCTCCTCACCCATTCCTGGCAGGCCCAGCCTCCCTGAGGTCCCACCTGCTCCCTGTCTCTCGTGCTTGCCCCTCCCCACCCTCCTGGGACAGCTGGGGCCTGTAAAGAACTTGCTGTTATGGTAGGCCTTCCATGCCCAGAATTTTAAACCAGGTTGGAATTCTCACTGCATGTATGTTTTTTTAATGAGGAGTTATCCATCCCGTACTTTAAGCAGTTTCTGTATTTCTCCTAATCATCCTTTTCACGGTGACATAATTTCCTTTATGAAAAGGTTCCATCATACAGTTCCTCCCTCCCCTGCTGTAAGGCACTTAGGTTGTTTCTAGCATTTCAATTTTACCAGTAAGATGTGACAAGGGTCTGTGAACAGGGTCTACCAGCATTTCTGTAGACTGACTCCCAGAAGTGCAACTGGGTCCCCTGGGTCCCTGGGTGTGACCTCAAGATCTGTGGTGGAGTCCAGTTACACACTCCCAAAATGATTATACACATTTGTGCCTCAGGTGCTTTTTCTCATATGCTACCATCTTTTCATCATTTCAAAACCACCTCAGGACCTTCCACTCACATTTAAGATTTCCTGACCAGACCACTTCCTGAGGCAAAAAGGGGGCTGGCATCAGAGTGAGACCCTGGCACTATGTTTTAATTTTATCTCCT